ACAGGCAGTGGAACAACTCACTTGTGCACAAACTGTTCGTAAGGAAGTCGCACGGGGAAGCCGGAACTTCGGATGCGCACCGTCTCAAGAATACCGATGTAGCGCAGTTGCTCCATTACCATGGTATCTTCGAAGGTCATTGGCTTCTTATCCGGATTCGGTTTAATACATCTAACAAACCACGGACGCTTCCTGAAAACATAACAGAACAGTCTGTCAAACTATCAACAACATGTAGGTATTCTATTCAAAATATAACCATACTGACCACTTTAGCATGCCATTCAAAATGAGTTAGACATTAACCAACTACTACCATTCGAATAATGTGTCCATTTTTGTGCAGAGCTGTCGCGGCACTTAGTCCCAAATTCCGGTTGCAGAATAATTGGTAATGGTTTTAAGATAGGTGTCAATTCTCCTGTGCAAAAAGCACTGAGAGAAAGCCACCGAAGCTGTCAAGTGCAAAATGTTTCCTCATTTTCAAACAGGTTAAAACAGCGTGTCATTTAAGAAACACACTTTCAGACGGAAGATCAGTGAATTACACTGTTCATCTAAAAAAGATAATCACTAAAACTCATCTCGACTCCCAGTGAAGGCAATTTTTTCAAACAACTCTTGACCGGAATAAATTTGCTCGCAATTTCCTCGGGAGTGACAGTGCTTTGATTCAAGTTCAGTCTTATCCAAATTCCAATAGCGCAAATTTTGTGTGGATGAATAAATGTTGTTGAGGAGAGCAGACTCACGTTTTCATAGTCTCCATGAGAGCTAGGAGTGAGGTGTGAAAGCTGTCGAGGAGGGTGGGTGAGCGTCCAATCCGCGAGGCTGGACCGCCACTGCGGCGGTTTGCGTTTAATGGAAGAAACATGGCAGCTACACCCTCGATTTTGCTGTCGCACAGCATGTCCAGCGCCTCGGGGCGGATTCGGTCGCGGTTCTTCTCCACCAGCCCCTCCGTCTGTAGCCCAGATGAGTCGGAAAACAGAAAAAGGCCCGTTAGCTCAGGGCATGACGGTGATTACAAGTTAATCGAGAAACTGTTGCACGTAATTATGCAGCTTCAGGTTTTTAGCGCCACAACATTACATCCAATTGTAAACATTTAGATTAATACAGGCCCTCAGAGGTAACTCAGGAGCTAAGCAATACGTACAAAACGCCCATTAGGATTTTGAAAAAAAGGCGCTATTATTAGTGAGTAGGATGAGCTTTAATATCCGCAAAACCCAAATAGCAGCAAAGTCTAGATAGTCTTTCCAGGATCTCAGTATCCATTGGAATGTATTGTAGACAGATACACATTTTGGAGCTGATCCCATTGTAATGAGTATCTTAAAAAAATTGCAAAATTTGAGGTTTAAATTGAAAATGAGCAAAACACAGCGCCTATTTCTTATTGAATAAAAGTTGGCGATACATTCAGGCTGTAGTGAGACTCTCGATTCCCTATTACATCTGGCACATTTAAACAAGAGCTGAAGGCTAGCAATGCAATTTACCCAAATTTCTGAAAAATGTGACCTTTCAAACGTGCCCTAATTCACTAGATAGCGATGTTTTGTAGGTCGGGTGGTTAGGATTAATCTTCCATTTGAAGCTTCATATTTACTCCAAGAATTATATCATAAAACCATGTAGACAAAGGGACGAAGAGGTGGGAAAACCCACCGAATAGGCGATAGTGCCGGCAAAGTGGATGACGAGGAACTCCGAGGCACTTGCAATCTTGGGAGCACCGTAGTGGGGATTGTTGCGATGGGCGGCATGACTCTTTTGAATGAATGACAGATCATTCCCCTTTAAGAGACAAAAAAGGTAATACATTTTGGTTTGTTGAAAGTATCAAATCCAAGAAACGGACTTGTGGTTTTCCAGCCTCGACATCTGTGGTGTTGGATTGACTGACACCTAGGTCTGGGTATGATACAGAGACATCGATACCAAAGTATGTGGCGAATCTTCACAAAGGGGCTTCAGTATTATGAAAGGAAAAAAATAATTATCTAGGCCACTGTATCATTTTCCAGCAGTTGCTAAAACCCTTTGATTGCAACCACGATGCGTTAAACGATAGTAAAGTGGTGGCTCCTCATGCTCCATTGTGGATCCACACAAAAGATTGACAGTAATCACTTAGAAGCAAATCTTTCTTAAAATTGTCATAATCAACTTTTTGTTTGCAACCGAGAATGACTTAAGTTGCGAGACTCACACAAAGAATTCATTTTCGTTAAGAGGATGAAGAATGATTTTTCAAATAATTTAGTACTGTAGTTACTGCACCGAAACGCTCAGAACACTTTCAAAAAATGTTCTTTGATTCAGTAAAAGTATAATTATGTAATGTGCATGCATATGCATTGCTGAAAATACAGACATCAGAATATTGGCCAAGTCTAGAGGCTGGCAAAGTCGTCTCTTCAACACCTTTTGAATAGAATTAGGATTGTCATTCACGACGAAAGTGCCCATGAAAGGGGCGGAGAACTATTACAGGGTCAGAATTTTGCATACCTAACCTACATTAAAGCGCTGAGTCCCATTGCAAACAGGCTTATGCAGCAGTGACCAGAGTCAAGGCTGCCCGACATTGGCCGAGCTTAAACCATATTAAAGTTCCAAAAGATGGCAGGACAAACAACAAAAGTGACAAATTGCTCAAACATGCATTCTAATTGTAGAATGGAGCTCCTCAACCAGTCACAAATACCGACCAGGTGCACCACTTACAATAATCTAACTCTAGTAGGAGCGTTTGATTTTTTACTTCCTACACTTTAAATTTGACAGTTATAGTAATTGTATTTAAGGGTGAAAAACAAACGCCAATATCTTGATGGGTTGAACAAAATTTTCGTGGTTTTGTTTTCCATTTTTGAATTTGCCGATCCATACACGATGCGAGGATGTGGACAATCTGATGCTACATTTTGGGGCCTATTTTAAGCACAGCAACTTGGGGTCAACAATCAAAACGCCGTGTTTAGAGTTAGGACTGCCAAACATGCGCATACGCACACACGCACGCATGCGCACCACGAAAGGAGATGGCACCGTGACAATCGATAGGCGTGCGTGCGCGCGTGCGCGCTTGTCAGCTGGCGCGCCCTTGAGCGCTTGGCACATCTACCTGCTTTCGCCTGTGCACCACCTGCAACAGTTCGAAGGGTGGCATTTGGAGGTACTCGAGTCCACTCATCTTGGCGCATCTCGAGTCCAATTAGTGGATGGCAAGCGCAGGCTTCCTGTAAGGCTCCGTCACTGCTGCTCAGATGCACCTCCACAGGACTGCATCATGCTTGAAGCATAGTTTAAATGCAGGGAATGAATAATAAGGAGGCCACGTAAAGGTAATTACGGCATGCAATTTATTGACTTTGACTCACAATACTGTTGATTAACCCCTTGTTGGATGATTCAATATCAAAACACAGTTTTGTGATCGGTAGAAATCCTTGCTAAATACCAAGCAATGAAGGCTCACACCTGACTGTTGTCTTGTCGCATAGGCACCAATGTACCAAGTGTTCATGGAGCCTGATTCATCTGACTCCAACACCACATGATACTTGACAGAATTGGCACTTTATCCCAAAGCAAGCAGTACAATGCCAGAATATTCTTTTGAAATATCCAAAAACAAATAAGAAATACTTTTGGTCTTAAAATTTCCCACCTTTAACGCAGCTGTCTATTTTATGCCTGTCACCAGAGTACAAGTGAAATTGAGACGATCATACAAACGTTTTTGTGTGCGGGGATATGCGCCAAAATGCCAGTTTTTGCACAATCCAGTACTCAAATATGCGTTTGTAAATGTATTAGACACAAGGATGAGTCTAGAACAGTGTCTTGGTATTCGCCCGTTGTTATATTGCGTGATAACTTGATTTACAAACGAAGAACAGGGAAACCAATCAAACATATCGACAATCCCGAACAATGGGAGAAAATATGAATAATATGCAAGTAATATGACCACTCTCTCTTGCAAACTGTGCTCTGCAGATTTCTTAATCCTTCACGAGTAAAAATGCAAGGAATCAGGAAAGGAACTGCTGCGGTGCGCTGCAGTAAATTGATGCAGACAGCGTTGATGGGTTCCGCGAGCTCTTGGTTAGCACAAGCGTTAATGGACATTGACTTTTTATCGAGGTTCTGATGGAAGAATAAAGCTTCTGAATCACCTCATCCAGAAATTATCAATTTGAACTACTCCACGATTAAAGAACGTACTAAGAGGTTGAATCCAGAAATAAACTTATCTCAATGGGCCGAATAAAGACAGGATCTTTAACAAGTATCAAGTGTACCGTTTTAATTGCAAGTGCAGATCAGATCATAATACCATTCTAGCATCACTGTGAACAATAAACCAATGCTATTCAACGGAAGCTATGCGGATCAAACGATGATAGTTGCAAAATGTTTGTTTTTGAAACATTATTTGGATTTGTTTCACATAGACACAGACGCACCTGACCGAGATAGGCTTCATCGTTAAGGATGTGGAAAATGCCATCGGGCTTTCCAGTGAGTAGGTTGATAATCACCCTGTTGTCGGGGAATGTGATGTAGCTCCAACTGACTCCTTCACTGCTGTATTCAGCTTGCTCGAGTTCGAAAACATAGCGATTGAAGAAAAGTTGCAGATTTTCGTTTGCATAGTTGATACATAGTTGCTCCAGGGAGTTTGATGGCAAATTCTAAGGTGGAAAACGACAAGCTTATTTGTGTACATAGACAGAGAAGCTGTAAGAAAAATTGTGTTGACCCTACATAAAAGTATGACAGACAAAATGACTAAGAATGCATGAACCGTTCCCAGTAAATCCTTTCAGCAAAGCCACTCATTAATAATATCGCAATAAAAGTGAGCACTAATAAACTAGATTTTATCTAATTCCTTGTAGCATTGGCCAGATCCTAGGCAAATTATTATCAAATACACATGCTTTACTGTAAATTTGTATTTTATAAGTGAAGAGTTGAGGCTATGTAAGGAAAAACACGTTGCCTACTTCGAAACCGTATATGTCCAGGAGGGAGATACTGCGTGAGGCTTCCAACTCGCCGACAGTTGGGGGCGCAAGGCGATGGTTGAGCTCCTCCACCAGTAATTCAAAGTACTTTGAATAGAGACACTTTGCTATGGAGTCTCTATTCACTCTTGCCTGCTGCTGATTCACCGGACTTCTTACGGCCTCGGCTCGCGTCTCCTACAAATGCAAAATTGCAATCGTAAAGCAGTATGATGCTTCAGCACACACTTAATTCATCAGATTCTGTTATTTCATTTCCCAGGGGTAGATATTTTTAACAAGACGTCATCTACCACTTAATTGCAAAAAAACTAATAAAGTGCTGGTTAATAGTATTAAATTAGTTTGATTCCTTGACCATAGTTGGGGAACTGAGATCTCACATGAGGAAACTTTAAAGCATGCAAGATTCAGCCGCTATAATCAAAGCAACATTGCAAATGCTCACCGTAACTTTAGTTGTGAGAACATTAGCCAGTGTTTGACGATTGATGGATAATTCACTTGCAATATGATCCAATGTCTCTGGATTCTTTATAAAACTGACTTCCTAAAAGCCACCATGAAAACGTTGTAAATAGACTGAAAACAATGCAAAAATGTTTGTCGAGTTAACCTTTTGCACTAAAATCACTACATCCCATTACATCAGAAATGACAAACAGGGCTTTGGAACCTCAGGTAGCCAAAGGAGTCGTATAAATAAAACAATACATATTCAATAGAAAATTTGTCACTGTGTAGCACAAAATAAGCAAAAATGACATTTTGGATCTCAACAAATTAAAAAATGCCGCAATTACGTAATAATAAGTTGGACCCATAAAACCTTTTTTGGTCAAGATTTTGATGTTCAAGTTCAGGAAATTGTACGACTATCATAATATGGGATTGACCTAATGGCATATTAAACTATACCCTAAAAATTGTGTGCATATTCGCTTTCTTACTACAAATCTTAATTAAAAATATACGCCATTCTTCCTAAAACCCCGCTGGAATTGATTTGTTTGCAAATTAGAGAATAGCCGGAAGAAACCAATGCACCCCGCACTAAGTAATAAGGTTGTATGAGAAGAGGTCAAAATGCGTGCGAGAAGGAAAAACATACATCACGCTCTCCAAACTCAACATTGCCCAAATGCAGTACGCCTGACATAATGCGAAGACACAAATCCATGTCCTCTCCAGTGAAACGTAAGTTCGACCAACAATTTAGAAGAACATGCAATGCCTCGGGATCAGATCGTGAAGCGACCTTACTAGCTTTGCCCTGAAATTGAGAGTCACAATTTTTTTTTACTTGTCATACAGCAAAGACCCTATTTGGATGGGAAAAACCTACATATTGAAGATAAGCAAAATCTGAGACAGATGTGAAGTGATGAGCATTTTTTGTTTCCTTGTCTAGACCGCTCAAAAATTGATAGAAAATGTGGTAATTTCTTTCGCCAGTAGACTGCTGTACAACACGGGATTTTTCAAGCAAGTAGTTTGTTACTCGAGCTCCAATAATAGATGGACTAAAAATTGGTAAAATTATAAACAGTAGTAAAGCTTTAGAAGTGGGGATAAGCAACGTTGCACTGTATTACGTACCCAGTAAAGAAAACCTCTACGAACTTGCCAAAGCGAGATGAATTGTCATTTCTCAAAGTAGTGGCATTACCAAAGCTTTCGAGAAGTGGAGTACTTTCTAGCACTCCCTGAGCAGCAGAACCCCATGTAATCTGATCTCCCTCACTGGAGGCCGCAAGATGACGTAAAATTCTTTTAAATGCTTCCGTCTTACCTGCACCAGACTCACCACTATAATAAAAGTATTATATTTTGTTTGAGTATCAGAATTACCTAATGATTACGACTTGATCAACACCATCATGCAATAGGTTTTGATACATTCCTTCAGCAAGTCCGTAAACGTGCGGCGGCATTGAAGCTATTGGTTGATTTCTATATGTCGCCATTACGTCAAGACCGTCGATAAGGAGATCAACATAGGGGTTAACGGTGACCAAGATGTTACCAATGTAAGTCTGCAAGAATTACGGGAACAAAAAACTTACGTAGATATTTTTTTTGTTATACCGAACTTTTAGGTTGTCTAGAATGGTCATTTGCGAAAGGTTCCTGAAACATTATTAAAATATTATTTTACCTCAAGTTCACCATATTGTCAACACTATCCACTTCCACCGGACCAATAACACGGACTCGTCGTAGATTTTTAAGGTTAAGGATTTTAACCTAAAAATCGGAGTTTTGACTGAACCAAGTTTACTTCGCCATCAATTGTACTGCGAACTTGTGTTCCATCTTGCCTAATGGAGCACACTTCGCCCATCAAATCTTTCATGTAACCTAGATCAAAGAGGATGCGAACACCCTAAAGATGTAAAAAAATAAAATATTTAAAATACTTCTCGTATTCCGGACACACTAGGCGGCATCTTTTTTAGCGTGGTCCACTGGTCCCTCTGACCTTATTCTTAAATGCACGTCTTGGAGAATAATTCTTGCTGACTGGGTTAAACAAACTCAAGGTCATAACTTCGTATGATAGAGATACCTAATTGTGCAAGACACCACCTCCAACATTCATAAAAGACAATCAAAATAATTTTTTACTAAATTAAAGAAAACTTTGCTTTTGTTGACATGTTTCGAGGTAAAATTTTACCTTAAGATTACATGGGTTTCGTAGGACCCGAAGACTTCCTGGTAGACGAAGAAGGGTGCAATACTCAAGCCAAACACGTGTTGTTGATGCAAAGTAGAGATTAGGGCTGCCGACATGGGCAAAGTACTATTAGGGAGACCTTCAAGTGTCCCCATTACCAAAACCGAGAATCGGGCAAACATTTAAAGTATTACAGTAGGTATGCAATGCCCTAAAGGTTCGTCTAGTTCTGCAGCTTATTACGCAAAAGTCTAGGACTCCGCTGATTGTGATCTTGACAAGCAACATGTCCGTCTGAGCCTTCTTTATGATGTTGATATGCATTCAGGATTACTGTTGTGACATCCTACGACCTCAATAAAGATTTGGAGGGCAGTATGTGTGCAATTTTCCATATTTCTGACTAATAGTTTCACCATATTATGCAAGCTGGGACAATCTGACTACATTTCATGCTTGTCTTACATGGTTCCACTGTAGCATAAGGATTTCGAATTGAGACTTTCCCAATAAATGTGATATGCTTTTAACTCCTTACTTATGAAGGTGTACGCCTACCCACAATTAAGGGCACTTTATTTGTATTCAGAATAAGTCATAATTAAAATTTTTATCTTCGGCTTGTGGAATTAGTCTGTCTACACAGTACTAATCATTAGTCAGGTCCCTGTATATTCATGTGTGGTGGCACTAAAGCTAATTCGTTTATAAAACCCTCTATTACCATTAATCACGTAAGCACTGCCTTTGAATGACAAAGCCATAAACTAAGGTGTGCTCCCTACAATCCGTCTTAAAGACGGACTAACAAGCTTCACGTCGGACAATAATGACTTGGTTGAAGATGGCGCGGGGCACTTTACGGGCGTGGGCATCAGATCCACGAATTACTTGCGGTTAGAGCACGTGACCATTCCTTCCTTAAGTAGGCCTTAGTGATATATCATTCAAAAATAGTGTAGAGATTAAGGCAGTAATTTCCAAGATGCGTTTAAATGGTAGCTACAAATTATCTTCTTCGCCAGTATGGTTTTAATGCGATTTTCTTACATTTACAAGGCTTCATTTGTTTGTTTAAGTCTCAGTATTGGTAATAAACCCCTTAGGTGCTTCGCTACATCTTATTAGTGCTCAGACAATCTAGCCCCTTCATTTTCAAAGTTGACATTCGAGTTTGAAATGAAGATGCGGTAATATGAAAAAGTTTCACCACTGCTGCAGTTTGACGTTTGCATGGCAATCACTTTATTAAAATAGTCACATCGGAAGAGGGAGTCTGCTATTGTTGCTCCTTTTTTGAGGGCATGGAATTATTTAGTGGATAGCATGCTTGAGCAGGCACAAGGTTTCTTTAAGCTGGTTTGAACTGGCAGCCATCCCTTATGATCTGAAAGCTCAGAATGTAATTCCTCTTGGTCTGGGAATCCGAGTCACACGCCTTAGAATTCACCCTAAAAATCCAGATCATCGAATGGCCAAAATACGATACCCAACGCAGTGTCACATACTTGAATTGGGTTGCGATTCGCAATTCAATTTGTGTATAATTAATGCGATTTTACAAATCCTTTGCCTCAAACAAACCGCAGTAATGAGGTGGACGAGTCAGCCTTTATAAGCCTCAAACCGGAGGCCATTAGGAGCACCTGTGGATTCCACAATTATACTACACTTCCAGGAACAATATTTTACTAACCAAAGGTGAATCCAAATCAGAGACTTAGCGGCTTTACAACAAATCTTTACTAAGCCATTAATTTCATTATCAAAAATGCATTCTCGAGGTTGATAAGTTACGGTCTTTATTTTCCATTATCACAAATCTGGATTTTGGTGAAGTGACGTGACCACCTGTAATTAACAGAGGTGGTCCTTCATCAGATCGAAATGAGTTTTCCCAAATCAGTTACTTGTGCATTTCCTATCCTCCATGAAATAAGCAGAGTACTCTTGTTTTGTTATTGAGTCAAAATGCAGATTTATTAAATAAGAGGTGGGCGGTAATGATAGTACGCAATGTACCTGCGATGTATATTATACAATAAAAGTTTATTTTTTTTTCTGCAGTGCAGTGCAGTACTAGTACTCCGGTAGGCAATGCAGGCGTACAAGTAAAGGCACAGCAAACGGCCGAGGGAATGGGTCGGGGGAAATTGAACATTCTGCAAAAAAAGTTCTTGATGAAGTTCCTGAGCTAGTCATTAATTTTGGATTCATTTGGTCGGTCAATGGGACCAAGCAGCAGTGGAATGATAAGAATTAATGTTGCGCAGCCAGCTTTAAAAAGTTGCTCGATTTGATTAACCATGATTTCTGTCAGAAGTCCGAACTTGAATTATCACTTTTGCATGCAATCATTCATTCACTAATGTTCCAGGTGAGACAGTTGGCAGTCAAGCGTGTGTTCATGTCCAGTGCTGCACTGGGGAGCCTAGTGCAGAACCGCGTGCTTGAGTAAGCGTTCACCAGGCTTATCAGGGGGGTTAACTTATCAAGGTGGCTAGACTAGAAAAAAACCACCACAGAAAGCATCTTTGTATGAGAAGGCGGCACTGACACATGCAGCAAGCGAGCGAGCCGCCTTGATGATGTTGATGGGGTCTACGTGGCGTGCGTGCGCGCCCACGCTTGTCAAAGCACCTGCCTGCGGTGACACGGGGGATACCAATACCACTCACCACTAATGAGCATCCGAGTCATGGCACATGAAGGTGAGAAATACACAAACAAAACTACGCAGAATGACACATCTCTCGTCAGAAGACCCTGACTAGCCCTGAGAAAACTATTACACACAATTGCGCCAACGACCTAATCCACGCTTTACTCCAACGCATGGCGTTAAAAAGGACTGCATCGACGAAGGTTCAGCATTTTCATGATATTTTGAATCGAATTAATTTGATCAAGACAAACTTACTTCATATTATTTGGCGATCCCTCAAATTGGTTGAGCATTTCGGCCCCGTCTTTTCGGGAAGAAATGTAGTGGCGCTGGAAAAAGAAGAAACACAGCAAACCTACCTGAATGTACCAAACAATAGGTTGGTATGTACAATCATTTGGATAAGTTTTCGGGGAATTTAATATTTAAGTCAACAGTTAGGAATTGAATGCGTAAGACAATGAGCCTATGATACAGTATGAATTTGCAACTAAAGCGATGGTGACACGCAATGCTGAGGAAATGCAACATTTTTCTCATTCTTCAAGACTCAGTCATGGCTGTGCAAACTAGGCAAGCATTCAGCATTATATTCAGCTCTTAACGAAAAAAATATATGAGCAGTCTTTGATTATCTATTGCACAAGATGACGGCTGCTTTACAGCTCTTAAGTAACTTACTGAAAAGCTAGAAAGGCTTGCTAGTAGCAACTGCGTATTTTGGTTGCGTAATATACAAGTATGTAAAAGTTTGTAAATGCACACTTCCTGAATTCAACTTCTATAAACTATTTTGCATTTATACATTATCAGTGGGAAACCATCCGAACTCAAGCCCTAAGAAACACGTTCACAATCGAAAAAGATCTCGCTACACTGCTTACACTGTGGCTATTAAAGAGCAAAAAAGTTAGTTCTAACGCAAAGTATTGCATAAATATGACTTAAGTTATCAGTACTTACATTGGGAGGCCGATGACACACTTCCAGTGGGTGGGATCGTGATTGAAGTCATAGAGTTTGATAATTTCAAGTCAAGTATGCCCAGACCTAAGCGTTTAGATTCGAGGTTGGTGAAAAATGACATCTTTGCCGCGTCACCAAAAGGTGAGGCCACGTTGAGGAGACTCTCCTGCGAGTTCGAGTTAGGTGTATAACTCACTTCCGCCGGTAACAATTCATTCCCCTCCTCCTCCTCTTCCTCTGCCTTCCCTTTCACATTTATCGCGTTTTCTTTGCATTGGTCTCCAATTCTATCTTCATTTTTTTTATCATTTCCTTCCTCCATCTCCTCACCTTTATCTATATCTCGATCGCCACCCCCTTCCTGCCCCACCTTAGTAGGATCTCTCTTCCTCCCCTCTTCTTTCTCATCATTGTTTTCATTCAGAAACTCTGGTTCTTCCTCGTGCAAGTTTACGGTCTCCTCTTCAGCCGTGCATTTCGATATGACCGGCTGCACCGCCTTGGGAAGGCTAGTCACGGCGCCCCCGACTGGCTTGGTGATAGAGACGTCAGGGTCAAAAGTAGGGGTGTTTGGTCCCTCATCAGGGTCGGGTGGATGGAGCAAGATGGTAGGGACGTCGGGAGAGCAATTTAAGGGGAAATTGGGCTTATTGGTGGGTGTAACAGCCTCCGTGGAGGAAACTTGCAGCTGAATCATTTTTCTCGACGCTCGTGGTGGGGAGAGAGTAAAAAATCGTTGTGGCCGACTAAAGGAGGAAATTCGCTTTATTTGGCACGTCTGACTGCTATTGACCGAGAAATCGGAGGCTTCGGAGTCTGTTGATCTGAATGAAAAGGGGATTACTTGGAGGGGACAAAACGATGGCAACTTCAGTGGTAAACAGTGATAAAAATGTTTACTTTGAAAAATTTGGGCTGCCAATCTTATGCGATTTTTCTGAATCACTCCGGTAATCCATATTTCCTGAACTAGAACAACAAAAACATCAAAATGATGAGAGCCGATTACAACTTCACAGATGGAAGAAGAAAAATAACACTGCCACTCAGAAACGGATCAAGCAAAATGGCAATAAGGAACCTTTTACAATATTACATTTCATTTTATAGTCAGCAACTGATTAAATTTACACTACACACAAACGGATACCGCATGACAAACGTAGAGCACGATCATTTACAACGGAGTTGGGTGTACGCTTTTCATGTAGCCAAAAACGAAATTAATTTTTGAGTGGAAAACTATTCTCAGGACAATCTTCTCTTAACAGCTCATTTGAATGAGCTTAACATTTTTGGTTGAGGTGGGAGCCACAAAAACCTACCGGTAAAATCGCGAGGCTTCTCTGAGCCGTCGATAAAGCTGCATTGCGTTCGCTCTGGAGTCACACTTAAATCCAATCTTCTTTTTAACCTAAAAACATGCGAAGAAGACATCAGCTGAAATACGTAGTTAGCAATGCTAGCTAATTTATTCATTGTAGGTAGTATTGTAGCCAAACTGCCTGAGCTTGGGTGCTCATCTACGCGATATTCGCATCAAGGATAAAGGATACCGGACTATCGTTTGTCCAACAGATAGACGGTGAGGACCATTTAAGGCAGCTAGCAATGTGGCTAGTTATCTACCTTGTACCTTGCTACTTGGTTTGTCGTGTCTGTGTTCTTGTTTTACTCTAGCTTTCTGTGAGGTGAGTCCTTCAACTCTGTTCGTGGTGCCACTCATTTTAAAGTGCATTCCTTCACCATTGTTCTTGTAAAACTATCAAGTCCTATAGATCTTAAGCACAAATTTACTAAATGAGCAGTGCATATATCGCAGTACATTTCGATTTTGAGAGTTAATTACTCATAAATCTTGGTGCTGCTTTAGTGCGATTGGGAGCATCGAAGATTTGCACAGGGCTGCCTGCAAAATTTGCAGAGTAACTGCAGGGGGCAGCCAAGCGCGGAGGAGAGTATTTTGATGCGCGCAATCGCGGTTCATGTTGGCAGCATGTGCACTTCACTTACATCACGCGTTTTAATGGTAATAACGACGGTCTTCTTCTCGCATTCGTAGCTCAGCATCGATTCCCTGAAATGTGGCAAAAGGCGTCGAGTGAATTCCACAAGCACAAAGGTCCATCCATCACACACGAAGCGGTATTTCTCAAAACATTAAATGTCAGTTGCATTGACTCCTGCAACATATGCGGCGCGGTGTTCGAGACGTCGCTCTATGAGGAGCGCGTCTAGAAGGTCACAATGCACAAGAAGTACTTTGTGATTCGCTACTGAGGTTATCACAATCTCCTATATGGTGATAAATATAATCAAACAGGTAGGATTAGGTAATTACTAACTAAAAGGAAAGAATACAAGACTTATCGCACCAAATGCTGGAATACTTCAAGGCCGTTGACTAACAGAGAAGCAGAGTTCACCACCGAAACTCACCAGCGGAAGAAGTTAACTTGCTGACTACTTTTGAAGACAGAAAGACCTTTGAAATTGAAACCAACAGCTATGCCGTTCCCACGTTGATCCTGCATAGAAGACATTCAGAAACAATTTTAATTCATTATGCGGTTAATTAATCAAGCTTGTGAAGTTTAAACAAACGAGCAAATTAAAAGTGTGCACAGTCCAAATATGACCTTAAGGAGTTAGACTGGGTACAGTAAATAAAGAACATAGGATCCGCGCAAGGCCAATGAAAATGGGACAACACACGCATGCACATATGCATTTAAAAACGTGTCCGCATCTCCACGCCCTTTGCGTTCAGCTGTGAGACCTATTCATCTACACACTGTAGTCCATTGACAATGGAAATATATACACCGACGTTCCATTAACCATAACATGCTAGCATATTTGATATTTTAACACTACACGAATGGGTTTGCTTTTACAGCAGAGCGACAAGCTCAAGTGCTTGCCCGAATTTCACCAGACTTCTTGAATCACCTTGTTTGCTTTCTTTCGTTAGTTCATAGCGGCAGTCAACATTGTAAACTGCATGTCCGCCTAACTGCTTTCCATAATCTACTCCAATTAACGGAGAATTGAGCTAAAAGGCCATTGAACTGCATTTTTGAAACTCAATGCAGTGTCTTCGACTACAAACGTAAGTGCTTTTGAAAATGATTGTTTATATGATTCATTTAGAATTTACTTTTATGTTTAATTAAAAATATACACTGTTTACTCCACTTGGTCTTGGAAGAATCATCGGAACGGCTATGGCAATTATTGTCACACGATGTAATGCTCGAGCAATTGTTCCCGGACCTTTTATTATGCGTTTTATGCCGACTAACTGTAGTTTGCTGCAACAACCTGCGTTTAAATAATATAGACAACTAAAGAACAAAAGAAGGCTCTTTAATTTTGGGACTCAGAAAATCTACACTGGACGGCGTTAAAATTGCAAAGAAATGGGCCGCGAAAACGACATAGTTTCCAAAATTTGGCGTACCTTTGCGTCAAACGGTTCAATGCCATAAGTGTCCATCCTCGTAGCGACTCTCAAAAAGGCAGTCAAGGCGTCGTGTGGGGATATGTCACTAAAATATTTTGAAAGATACGAATGGTATAAAGTCTGATCATGTATCTCACTGCCTTCTCTGGAAAAGTTCATTGCCCAATTTCAAAGAGATGATGTAAATGCCCAGGTGTGAAAAAGGTCGCGAGTTGACATGCAAAATTTGCGTCTGATTCTAAGAATATTTGCCCGTGTATCAAAACATTACGCAGATCCATTATACAAAATAAAATATCAACAGGAGTCGTCCTACAGGTTAAAAACAAAGCAAAGTATTTTAAAAAATATGTCGGCTGGAAAGTCAAACATGACATTTCAAAAACCAAAGTAGTAATGAGAGGCCTTATGATGAAGTTACTATCAAATAGTTGCTACAAAACGAGTACTCATTTGGACCATGGAAAATCATATCTGGCATAATATCAGTATTATTTGCACTTACGCCATTTAAAATTCAGAAATCCACTTAGCTTAAGCATCCACTGTTTTGCTTCATTTTATAAAGCATTTGCGTTGTACACTGGATAGTAAATTTTGGGGACAAATAAATCTTTCGAGAGCAAAGAAGAAAAGAGGTAAAAATAAGGCACTAGAAAAGCGAAACGACTATACGGTTAGGATTTAGACAATAAATATGCTCACTAGTTTTCCTGAAGATATTCCTTAATTTGGTTTTGCATTGAGTTGTCGAGCCTGTGTGAGGAGACCTTTGATCTAACGATGTCATATTGGAGCAGTTTATCGCGGGGAATGTCACCCAACCCCCCTTCATCTAGGTCGGGAAATACAAAAGAATAAAATCACACCCATAAATAAAAGAAAAAATTTAATTTTATTGCTATTCTGGTTTCCGGAAGTGTTAACTAGGCATCGGTTTTTCTAATAAAAGTTTAACCAGTGAGATATTTGAAAATTGTATGCTTAATATCGCTTTGAAGGAGTCATCAAACTTATAGAAATAACTTTTTAGGAGACTACTGCTCATAAATAGGGACTTTGCTCAAGGGAATTTGACATAGTGAATTCCCTGCTTTTGGTTTCCACAAGAGCATTTGTTTGTTTCTCCATCATTTATGTTGTAAGCAGAAGATCGTATCAAATGTTATGGGGTCTCGTAAATTCCACATGAGGTGTGACTTTGATACATTATTTGTGAGAGTCCTGTGAACAATTATAAATTTAGGTGGGTCAAAAAGCAGTTCCTATTATTAAGTTTGTCCCTTAATTGCACTAAAGCATACGCGGTCGGATGGTGTTGGAAAATACGGAAAACGGAAATGAAAAACGATGGTCAAATAATTTAAAATTTGCTCAAGCGAAGAGAAATACGATGATTACATATTTAAGGAGCAATATATTTATGTTTAGAGTAGTCAAAATTATTTAATAGGTCTTTCAGTCTTGCAGTCATTCGGATCGAAACGCATTCAAGTATAAGTCACTACATAAAGCTGATTTTGATATACGGTAAATGCATGGTTAAAAGTTCAAGGAAATGTTCCCTCGCTCAACGCATAATGAACCCGTAGCTCAATTCCACATGCAAAAATGGTAGCAACTAGTCTAAAAGCAATAGAGATTCAGATAATAAATGTATGTGCCTCAGTCATGGAAATGTGAAAACACTGTCAGCACAAACTTTAACTGATGATTTACCCATGTCCTTAAAGTTAACAATCATGGCTACAAAAACTAGGTACATATGCGTACATTGCACAGAATATGCTACCAGCAAACAGCGGTCCCTTTCTTTTCCGAGCAATCGCCCAACTGCCAAATCGTGTCGAAGTTGGTAATAGAGCAGATTTCTAAAAAGGTCGCTTTGTTTCAGAATCCAAACAAGAACAACCTGTTTTACATTGAAGCAAATAACTTACGCGAAAAAATCTGAACTCATCTCGGAAACGGGGTCAGAGGGATAAAATTTGATACGCACCATAATTATATCAAATCCTTTGGCTAAAATAATTCAATAATTTCGAAGCAATAAAAACGCTAAAAGCTACTTATTAATAATAGTAAATCTATGCATATTTAACAAAAATAAGACTGACTGCTTGTACTTAAGGGAAAAAAACACCGTATTAAACAGGTGTACATAAAATACTGTATACAAAATACCTACACCTTTAAAAAAGAAACTCTGGGTAAAATTTGTAGTGTATCATAAGTCATTTGGACTACATTATTGTTTGTACGTGCATTAAATGTCCAAAGACAACCGCTTATCAAAGTGTTATTTTAGAAATCCTATCAAACTCTCAACTGGTATTTTTCACCAAAGATTCTCAAACTGTACCTGCTTTCTCCTTTGCAACTGAATTGTTCAGGTCCATCCATTCCTAATCGTAATAAAGTAACACACTTTCACCAACAAATAGAAATGTATAAGATAATCTAAATACTGCACAAGGAAGCCACGGGTTTACTACTTAGAATATATTGCATAGCATGTCACTTTCATTGTACGTATATGTAATAAAGCAACTTATGACTGATATATTTGAATAACTTACCGGAAATTCACCCGGTTGCTCAATTATGAGTCCCAAGTATTTGGCTTTGGTGGCATCGCCAAGTTCAGTTGCAATGTGGTTAACCAGAATTTTTCCAGTAATTTTATGCTATGTAAGCGGACAAAATAAAATAGACAATATAACAGCCAAACACACCTTACCAAAGAAGGCAAAATTTTTCAAACCATAATTGTCCAAAAACTTTGCATGACGTTAATTCAAATTTCGATAAGCCAGCACGATTATATGCTATCAATATTTCTCAGTTTCGTACAATTAAATAGAAGTGAAAATCAAATACTGACCACATACCACAGCATATGTAGGCGCCTAAATATTTTTACATGCTTAACTAACTGGTCATTATTCTTAGACGAATCCACGCTTACGTCAATAAAAGCGCGCATCTTGGTGCCATCGAAAAGTTGAATATCCACGTCTGTGGTTTCATTAATGCGTTCATTCGAAGCCAAATTAAAAAGGGTAAAGAGAGAACCCTTGCGGAATTGTCCCTTTTTATGGACATCGGGACTAGTATCTAAGTTAATTTCCGTAGGTGACGCAGCCGTCATTCTCATTCAAATAACTGTGAGCGTTAGGGTCGTTGCAAATCATGCAGATCATTGGATTTCGATTCACTTAAACCATACAAAGCAGACAATTTCACTATTTGTCAACTTTCATTTGCATGATTACGTTATTCTATTTTTTCACCAATTAAGCCTCGATCTGGGGCCTGAATAATCCGCCCGATTTCCCAGTGCGTTTAAAGTTTGATAACTGATAACATACTTTCCGCAAAAATTAATAGGCTGTAATAAGCCCCGTATTTTACTCTTTCACCCCTGCATTCATGCCCACAGAACAGGTAGTCGAGTTAGAATGGGATATGCTTTGCTGGTCAGCAATTATTAAAGGGCTATAAATATCACTGGTTATGTCAGGTTAGGTTTCCCCTTCGGAGACCGATGGCATCCTGTCTAACACAAGATTCGCACTAACCGACCGTTTTTTGCCCAAAAGAAACATTAAAAAGGATGCATTACATGGTCCCCTGGCCTCTTTCAACACCGTCCTAGGTCCTCCTTCTTCCGTTAGTGCGCAGATTTCACATATTATCTTACCGGAGATGTACCTTTGTATGAGCGCATCTTGTTGCAATGAACGACGATTACTGTATGTTGTGGACAAAAGTAGTTTGTTAATGAGATGACTTTTATCACTCGGAATGCGTCTTTGGTCCACGGATGATGGGAATTACGATATACTTTAGGTGGGATAACAGGCCTGTATAGTTGTACCAGGTCTCCTTCTCGGTAAACGCTTGGTTGACTGTATCATAATGTCTCTTCTATTTAAAATATGACAGTCGAACCTGTTCCCCAGCGATATTGAAAGTGTGCCTTATGCCTTCTTGTAGTCGCAGTACGTACTTTGAAATATTCTGGGTTGCTGATTCCGTGTTCGGTAGGAAAATACTGAAAGGCACTCCCGTTTTACAAAACTATGAGCATTTTAAACAGTAAAACGCTGGTCAATGTATGAACTGTAGCCCATTATGCAAAAGGTCACCATTCAAGTATCAAGTCTTAGTCTTCCGGTTGTGCATCTTTAATCAAGGCCTTCAGTAGTCCGATAAGAGCTCGAATCGTTCCTTCCATCTGTCCTCCACCTTACAAAAAATGACTGGATGTCATACCCATTTTAGAAATTCCGTAGGTTCTACCTAATCCATTAAAGAATCATTTTTCGAAATTAGCGCCTTGATCGCCCTGTTGACAAATCCAGCGATTGAAGAAAGCCGAAGCTACCGTTTTAGTGTCTTGTGTCTCCACGAGTTCTGCCGTGGTTGACTCTCTTGGTGAGTAGCAGAGGCCCCATGACGTCAATGCCTACTCTTTCCCTTGAAAAGCCTGTGGACATATATTACTGATGCTGCTGCTGTGAAATGGGGTCTTTTGAAGCTGCTATAAGTGGTGCAGGTGCAACAGTAATTAACTTCCTCTCTACCAGGTGATGTCCAAAAAAGTCTATCAATTGTGTAGAAAACGAACAGCTCACGTTACGTTCGACTCTTCTGGCCCTTTTTTGCTGAGTCTGATACTCGCGTAGGCGATGTGTTCCATTCCTTCATCCTTTGTCCCTTTGTGAGAGTACACCACCCACAGTCACGTCGCTCGCATCCGTATCCAGTATAAATGGTGGGGCACTCGGTTCGAAGTTGGGTAATGCTAGGATCGGTGCGAAGCAGAGTGTTTGCTTCAGCTCTTTAAATGCTTTATCTTGCTCCTTCTCCCACTAAAAATGCTTTTCCGCCTGCTTTCCAGTAAATTGATGCAGTAGGCTTACTATACTAACAAAACCAGGTTATCACTTGTTTTGTACGCTTTTCGGTAACCGCCATCTCATCTGACAAGACTGTGCGTCCAAAGTTGACAGAGCACTGCAAAACTCAACATTTCTTCGGATCCGGAATCAACCATGCATTTCGTAAACTGTTTAACATTAGTTTCAGGTTGACATTATGCTCCCGAATATCTCCACAGACGACAAGGAAGTCATCTAGGCAGACAGTGATTGAGAATAATCCCATTAATGCAGTTTGCATCAGGCGTCGGAAGGTGACCACTGCGTTAGAGCCCAGAACGCACTATCTGGAATTCATATAGCTCGTTCGACAATACAAAAACTGTCCTCTCTCTGACTATTTTTGCTTTTAAGTCCAGTGTGGAGAACCAGTTTGACGTGTATAGGGATTCTAACGAGTCGTTGATGTGGGGTAGTGGAAAGGTGTTTTTCTTCGACACTGCATTCAGCTTCTTGTGGGCGACACACGGATGTGGACTTCCCACAATCATTTTTTACCGGAGCTATTGCAGAGGCCCTTGGCGACTTTGTTGGCTTTACAAAGCCACCCAGATCGTCCGCTTACTAGAAGGTTTACTTCTAGCAGTGGAAATAGTATGCATTTGAGAGGCTGCCAGATGGGTCTATCTTTACTGGTGCCTATCGTGTGTTTCATGATGCTCTTTTCCAAGCATGGTACCTAGTCATGAAAATATATTCGCTTACTTAATCAGTAGCTTGCAAATTTCTCCTGTCACGTCAGTAACATGAGTAAGCTGCGTGGAGAGGTCATCCAGGTTCTTCATAGGTATACCTGCGGCCTCGAAAAGGGCGTTGTAAATGTCATTGAAATCTTCATTCGGTAACAAAAAGAGTGGATTGGCTTCAGTGTCTTGGAAAGTAGAGAAGGTACCCTCCGCGTAACTCAGAGCAGCTTTGGTGCTTCTTCAAAAAACTGTCAAGAATTACGTCCTAAGCCGAGTCTGGATATTTAGTAAATTTTGCTATCCAGATTTCCTTGCCCATGCTGACTTTTAATGACGTCTCCCCTTCTAGTGCCATCTCCTTTCCTTGCGCTACACGTAATCTGTACGGTGGAGCGATCCTAACCTTGTAACAAAGGGTCAGGAAAGTCCAAAGGTTTACTATTGGTCTAGCCACACCAGAGTCAAAATGGAAGATGAATGGATGTCCTTTTAGTTTGCCTAGGGCCTGCAGGAATGAAAGGGAGCCGTTTGGGAGCAAAAAAAGGTAAAGACTTACCTAATTTTGGAGCATAATGCAAAGAGCCTCGAAACGAGGGTGTTGGATTCGGTCGGCTTTTGGGATTTTTGTAGCGCAACTCCTGACACTTCTTCGTTGCGAACCTGACCAGCTCGCTAAGAACTTCTTGACCATAATAGATGGGCGAACTTTGTATCTAGACTGGACGGCTATCCCTTCAGCTAGCTTGGATGAAGGTGAGTCACAAAAGACTTGTTCCGCTATAAGTTGGACGTCCTTCGCGTACTCGTCGTCGTCTTCGCCCATACTTTGGTAGCGATGGAAGAACTAATTAACAAGTGTTTGTTCTTCAGGTTGATGATGAGTTTGAAAAAGATTAGCACAGCGTTCTTACAACTCGGTACCTAGGGTTATACTCACACCTATGAAGGCTAAAATGAGATCCTGGGGGAGGTCAGGTAGAATCTAGAGGGTTCTGTGGCATTAAGGATAGAACTAGAGGCTAAATCTGGCGGTTTTAAGCCACCTTTCGAAGTCCATATCATTCCTTTAGGAGGAGATCTGCCGGCTCTGCCACCAGTGCAATGGAGTTGGTGTTCTTCTTTTCCGCCCCTGCAATAATGTCCTTAGAAAGGGTCGGTAAAATTGGACGAGGACATGCTTTGTCCTATGGCATTTACTATGGGGGGAACATATGTCATGGGCTAAGAGGGTTCATGGATGGTCTCCTCTTTAAGGGGCGATGGCGTCCGATCCAACACGAGGCTCACATTTTCTCACCACCCTCACCTAAAAGGTCCATTTTTACAAACATGAATTACAATGCAACGAAAATTACAAAAAAAATCCGCAATTATGAGTGTGTTCAAGTATAGAAGTGCATTACGCACACCACTTCCTAATACTCCCTTGTGTCTCGAGTCTTCCCTGAAGTGATAAGAAGTGGCAATACTGTGACAGAAGGTATATTGCTATTGTACAGATGGCCTGAGAATCTGAGATGATAGGCTGGAAACAAAGCAACCTTGTGCAAGTGCAATTTGCGGAGATTTAAATGCTTGTGTAATCAAACCGAGAATTGAACGAAGTACCAAACCATTGCAAATGACTGGTGAATTTGTCTTCGTTTTGTTGAGTCGGGAAAATATAACATTCTAATTTGGATAATCTCACCATCGGTACACTCTTTACATTTGAGTTTCATACTCCTTTTAGTAATGCTGATTTCGTGTTCGAAATACATGTATATTTAGTGATCCGACTTTTAACTGGACGTTTAACCATATAGACACTGCTTGACGCTAGGGCCGTGGTAATGGCCTCACCGCCTCCCTGTACGTAAGTAACATATACTCTTCCTTACTACTTTAGCTTATTACCTCTCAGAACTACACCATTACGGGAAGATCCATGCTCATTAATTGACATAAGGACTAGGAGGTAACAGATGTGGACAAAGGGCCGTGCCCTCAGGACGGAGTTAGAGTTCTTAAATACGTGATTAAGACGAAAAACGTTCTGTCATATAGTCCCCCCTCATTTTTGGGTTTCGATTTTGTGGCCTCACTTGGCCTCCTTACGTTGGCAATCGCAATGCATAGGTTGCTTTAAAAACCATCCCCCAACCAGAAACGGTTGTCATCACACTTTCATGCAAGTGTAAAGGCACTTGATCCCAATGCCGATGGCGCGTCTCGCCAATCATTTGTGCTTCGAGTTTCACCTCATTGGCGAACCACATCACGCGGATTTACTGGTGCGGACTCCAACCTAAAGCTCGATGACGCTCTACAAAGAATTGAAATCATATTTCAATCTCTATTTGCAGGAGTGTTTGCTTAGAAGCCGTCATTTAGCTAAGCACACAAAGTATTCTCGCGAATCTAATTTTTCTTTCCATCACACTTCCCACCGTCTTATTTCATTGCTGACTAGAGGCGGAGGAGGAATCATTTGTTCACGCAATTTATAAATCTTCAGGTAAGTAACTCAGGTAGATTCGATGTGGACGTATTTAAGCTGTTAAAGTCTGCTGTTGCTTTGGCTATTCAACTCTTTATTGCTAAATGCGAGGTTTCAGCGACTGCCATACGTTGTCTCCACACATTCAGCTATCCATAGCACACAATCTTCTTCTAGGATAATGAATTTTGATCACCCATTCCGATCAAGGTTGCTCTCCACAACCGCAACTACTACGTTCCAAAGTGTACTGAGGCATCTCAATGTTGGAGCAGTTTTATTATGATACGGAAGGGCTAAAAGGCTATGAAAATGGCCGCAGAGTCACGCCGTCAAGACTAAGGTGTAAAGTGAGAGGACCAAAGCACCCGCATAGTGAATCGTGCAATGAGAGCACAAACCACGGCTGTGTGTATGCCCCACATCGAGCGCGGTATACCCCGTGCACACCCAAAATCAGGCTTCAGTCATGTCAAAAGTATCATAATGGGCACATTTGAGCATCTCTAAAACATGCTACCTAAAACAACGGGGAGCCAAGAGTACCCATAAGCATTCTCGAAATGACAATCTTTATGGGGTTATAAAGTCGAGCACACAATTCGGATGATCAATGAAAGCAACCACAACGGTAGTCGGCTCCTGCACATAGACTCCAATTTCGTAGCTCGTTTGGGACAGATACAGAAATTGCAAGAGCCTTGGTAGAGCTTTTTCCCATACCTGTAACGAATGCTGAATTTGAATTGAACAGGTTATGTGAAACTGCAGTTTATCGTGACGCATCATAATGCGTAGTAAGGTATTTGTGGCATATGGAAGATGTAAAAAGAGGTGTCTTACGGCTGTAATGCAACGTGGTGCTGCGGAAGAACCAGCAAGCCGCAAGAAAGATTACATTCGTAGAAGACACCTAGCAGTGAGCAAAATGAGGCCAGACGACCGGCCAATCCTCACGCATCATTATATGGCACAATATCGCCTTAAATACTAGGGGAAAGGGGCATTTGAGATGTTTGAAGATGTTAACAGTGGGAACACAGGATTTATGATATCGATTCCGACTCTAATTTGATGAATCTTAGGAGCTTATTCAGTTTTTTCTTAAGGAATAAGATAATGTAAAATATAGTTTATGTCTTGCTATTATCAAAGTAGAACAGAAATTGCCGTAAGCAAACTTTGGAATTAGTTCACACGTTAGGGAAAGACAGAGGTAGGAAGGGGAGAATACGGGGGGCGAACACACCTCGGAGCATATATCATGGCCAGAAAGAAGAAATACCCAATGGTGAAAATGGAGACGATGGAACCAACCACGCAGATCTGGCCATTCTTTATCCACAGTGGCATCCGACGCCTAGCATCGCACCCGCCGATGTGGTAGGTGGAGAACAGGAAGAAGGGCACGAAGAATGTGGGAACCCACAAGTAACGCGGTCCTGGCCACAACGGGGAGGGTGATCCGCGGAGCCAGTAAGAAGTAAACGCAACTCGTGAAGAGGGAGTTTGGTAGATTATGGTGCAAAAGGTGTGAGCGTTAAGACAGTATTTTAGACCGTGTGATCAGGTAAAGAAGTTTTGCTTTTTGTGGTTACAGATTGACGAAATATGAAGTTAACAAGTCAGCCCGATTCACATGAGACTGTTTTTGGCCTTACTAGTTTATTTTGCATAGCTAGACGAGAAATGCTCAGATTATGAGAACAAGAGAGCAAAGTTTACATGTCTTTCTTTCTCCTGTGATTCGGAGTTTCCAGTTTGCATATTTGCGGGAGAAATTCATTTAGTTGTCACCGCCGCGAATGAACGCGGATTTAGAACTTAGAAATCAGCTTTACTCTGGTCACTAGCACGTCGTTTGGATAAGAAAAACGCACGAATCTCACAAAAGCGCCAGCATTGCAGCTGAGCAATGCAAAGAGATTGAAGAAAAAGCAACGGGTTATGTCCGCAAACCAAAATCCCACAAAAGAATGCATATTTTGACATCACTTCCGATTAAAAATTTCAACACCAGCTTTTTACGCACTATAAAGTAGACTTTGAAGATTAGGTGAGGCAGCAAACGCCTTTCGATAGCATGAAGACATCACTACAATTCAGAATTCAACGAAGAAATCATGACATTTTATAAGAAGGAATTCAAGTGTTGAGAAAATGTTTTGTGAGACGTCTTGAGTACTTTCAGAACTGTGGGACATGACAAAACACTACTTATAGATTCCTCTCAGAAAGTATGCCCTGATGTGGGAATCTTTTGCTAGGCTGAAGTGTTGGCTCACCGGGGATAAAGCAGTCCTGACCATGTGGTTTGACGGTAGATTGAACAGAGTGAGAGTGTGGAGACCATCCAAATGATAACACACGGGAGTCAGAACTCGTTAAAGGTGTCCGCAAATAAAATTTCCCTCTCCATAAAGAAGAAAAGGAAGTTCTTGAATACAAGTTCTACGGAAGAGAATCAGCAAAGAGTGACGCGTTTTCCCAGAGTATCCACAACTGAGGCGTCTTCCAGCTTGCGCTCCTCTCCCTGAGCCTTCGTCTAAACGGCGTCAGCAGGCACTTTGCTCTTGATGTAGTCAATCAGAGGAAAAGGAGACCTTCCCAGGGGGTTCAGCAGATTCCCTGTGGGATGGTAAGTCGGTCACTAACATCGTATTTTCTGCGCTGCCTTAGTTCCGTTCGAGCACTTCAGAGTATAGTGATCGAAAACGAACTCCTGTGGATCAAAATTACCAACGTTTTGTCAATTTCAGCACCTGTGCCTGCTTTCAATAGCAGCTGCGCTGAACTTGGAAGTATGCTGAAAATAACTTAAACGCCTTGTGTTAGTAAAAGGACCTAGTAGTGGAATGCTTCTTTGAGTCGCTCGAGCTATTTCAGGAACTTTTAAGGTCTTTAAAGGTAGTTGAATTTCATGCAAACATGGAAAGTATGGTGCCTAAATGAGAATTCGGCGACTACAGTATGAACAGAACTACATACTACCAGCATAGAAACCGAACCATGGGATTCTGAAAGGACCGTACATTCTCCAAACCACATCGTATCCCAAAGCTTCAAGTACGTAATTCTTTCACCATCTAGCTAATTTACGTCTGTGAATTCAAAATGCATTAATGCATGAATTTTTCATGCTTTAAATTTACAAATCGGAAACTGTATGAATGGAATTCTTCATTTCATCGAAGCAAAGCGCCCACTTTACTCCTCATATGGGACTGGGGTTTCTTAAAGCTTATGAGGGTGTAATGGATGAAGTGAATTGTGCATAGAATATTCCCCACAGTTAAACGAAATTGGCTGCAATTGTGGTACGGTTCTATGCCTTTTCAGGTTCATGGGCTACTGACTCTCAATCATGCATTCTACAACCTTGTACAGTATATAACATTGTGATGCAAAAACTTTGATTCACAGACCAAATATCATGAATTTTTCATGAACCGAATTGGACACCAACAGCGATAACAGTTGATCTGGTAGCAAAAAGACTGGCTGGTCTTCGGCAATGAATCCACAAGTATAGAGGTGAAGAAGTTGAGGGATTAATGTAAAGAGAAATCTCAGCTTGCCAACCGCTTCAGAACGATGTAGGTAATTATGCAAACCAGCATGCAGGAAAACGCGACACTGAAGTGGCATGTTGCCGTGATTACACAACTCTTTTCAGTCTATCCCCTCACCAAAGATAAAGGAACACAAAAAGCACCTTGTGTGTGATCCTTCTAGGTGAAATAACTGAATGATCAAACAGACTCGTCCAAAGTCTGCACAAAGATGAGATTCTAATGACCATAATCCCCGTCTATATGTACTTTAATTGTACCCTTCTCATGGGTTCAATATGCGGGTATGAGTCGCGATCCTGACTTCATCACAGCAACTAGCTTTGGAAATAGAAGAGTTCTTCCCACAAAAGATACAGTCAAATGAAACTTAGTCATCATTAAGCTTTTAAGCTCCATTGTGCCGCTACCTAAAACAAGGAAATTGTGAAAAACGCAAGCTGATAAATTATTTGAAATGCAGTCCCGACATTTCTACATTTCTGCAAACCCTTAAAATGTTCACCACAAGTGTTGTGCGTAAGCAACACCCCAACCTCCTTAACCGAGTCTGCATATCACACACAAGTAACACATCGAAGTGAAAGGAAACGAATTAGACTGGTGCAGATCAAGTAGAAGCAAAAACAAATTGGTGTAATGCTAGAAAAGGTAAGCATCCGAGATGTGGTGTAAGCGACCGTGTTAAACAAGTACGCAATTTCTCATGGCTATTTCACTTGTTACTAAGTGAAATTTTCACTAAACTTAACAGGGTCCTAGTTGTGAAAATACGACTATTTTCTGTTGGGAAATGCCCGAATCGACTTCCGTACCGGTCGCGGGTGATAGACACCAACAAAATGTTCAAATAGTTCATTAAGCCAATAAATCGGGCTTAGGAGGGAGGGTCCACCGCTTCTGTCACAGGCCCAATGGGCTGTTTTTGGAGGTCATATGGTGGATTGCGCAAGCACTGCGAGGCCATTATGATGACAAGGGGTTTGTACACGCAGTCAGACGGAGAGGAGCACATGAGCGCGGGGGAAGAGGGGAGGGATTTACTCTCGGCTAGGTCCATTACCACCATATTTACCGAAGACATTCTAAAAAGGGAAGTAAAGCCTCGCAGATGTGTACAGATCAATTTGAATCACGGTGGTTGTCACTGCTAGCAGTAGTTCTCCGCTGACGCCTGTGCCTGACCCTAGTAGCAGAGCATTACCCTCGTGACAAAAGACTCCTTAAAGACCAATAAATAATAATAAAGTGGTACAAATCTAAGCATCATTTACTTTCCCTTCAATTTCGAAATCGAATCAAAGTGTGTTCATGCTAAATGAACTATCTGAATGTCAAACACATATGCGATGTTTATTGCTTCAATGTAAATGGGAAATTTTCTGCTGCCTATAAGGGCTTTATAGTAAGTCTTAACACTAGACTATTTCGCAAAAGGTTACTCGATCACATATTCTCATGCGCACTTGTTCGTCATATTAATAAACCGATTTTCCTGTGGAAATCTAGTTATTTAAATGGAATTTTTCCCATAAACAGGAAGCAGAGGACCACCATTTCGACAACAACTAAGTTGGAATACTTCGCCAGTAAGAAAGCTGAGAGACGGAAAGTCAAAGTTTGGTGGATGCCTACACAACCTATGATCGAGGCAAAGAAAAAACGAAGGAATGTCTGCCATAAAAATAAAAACCTGCGATTGATGAGGATGGCAGGAGCTGTAGCCAGACCAAAAAAGAAAGGCACTGAAATAAAGAATGCAGCAAACTTAATAAGCACACTTTGGATAACCTTCGATCCTTCCCAACGCGTACTAGACAAAGTCTTCGTAAAGCCTACAACAGAACATTGAGCAATCTTATATTTGTTGACTGCCGATAACTGCGCCATTTGGGCCCGAAATGGTCGGCAGCAAGCACAATATGGATTGCTTCCCTTATTTACCCTGGCCACAAACGGCACCTTACTGATAATTTATTCCAAACATATCAAAAGCACTAATAAGGCGTTGTAATCACTGGTAACACAAAAAGAATGTGTTGCAAAAATCAAGAGCATACGGTGCGATCCCAATGCATACATAAGGGGGCGGGATTTGGAGTAAGTTACTCACAAGTCATTAGGATCAAATGGTATTCCTCCGTACAAGATCACGGTTCACCTTCTTGAAGGGACGTTAACTTGAAAGTTCAGAAATATGAACAAAAGTCTGTTTTAAAAAGCAGTTAGCTAGATATCAACGATGAAGACAAAACGCAGAGATGTATAAATCTTCCAAGGATTGCATTTCAACGTCTAGGATATGCTTTCGGCATGCTAGAACAACGTGCTAAATTGAACAAGCTGCAGCCTAAATGTTACTACTGCACGTAGAAACAAATCATTAAAAGTCAATATTATAGGAATTGCAGGGAACAATTTTTTCATTTACGTGGAACAGAAACCAAGTTTAAATAACATCATCAGACATATTCACAGAACCGTAAGTGTTGTAGAAATGAGAATAATTGATTCAATGCCCGTGTCGACCATAAACCAAAAAGGTGAGATTAGAAGTGCTTATAGAAAGGAAAACGAGTTACTCAAGCAAAAGTTCAACTAATAGACGGCTAGTCAAGTAATTACTTACTTGGGCAAAAAACAGCCGCAAGAAAGCGAATACACCATTATCGTACCGTATAAATTAATCAGCCGTACTCCAAGCGGATTACCGATGATAGCGTGTCAGTTGATTACCAAACACAAAGTCCTATAGTCAAAATTACGCACCCTAGACTATAAAACGGTTAATATATTTAACAGCAACATCCACAAATCATACAGGAGTGTAGAAACTTTATGGTCTTTAGTACCCTCAGCACAAAGGACACCCGCCTTGGCTTCAACTGATAAACGTTTAGACAATTGAGCGGCAATTACCATTTAGCTTGAGAAGTTTGTGCAATAACCAGCCTTTTCGCTAACTCATGCATTCAATTTAGAGTCAACGTAGTGCTAAAAGCGGGGTTCATTGGGCACAAACGCACCTCTCAGACATTAAAGCATTTCAAAGAAGAAAATTGATCCTATTCAGAAAGCGTAAAAACAGGCTCAGTTAAATCTTAGCAGAAATATAAAGCCTTAAACGCCTTACTTGTACTTCGGAATCCCTGGTTTCTTAATTGCTACACGTGTGTGCTAAAACAGGGAAAACGAGAATTTAATTGTCAGATATATATTTCCCCACTATCACAATAAACATTTTTGAGTTTTCAGAACCTCATTTATGATTAGCTATAAACGTTATGCATGTGAAAAAGAATGTTATTCATCTAAAACAATAAATAATTCCACGTGATTAAGAAAACGAAACAAAATGAAGACAATAGGGACAAAATTAAACATAATAGGCAGTAGCAGAATCCGGTATCGATTTGAAACAATTTAGAACAAATTTCTGTAGAAACATTCCGTCAGACCAACATTAAGACTTGGAAAACAAAAACTATGAGGTGATTTATTTTTTTACTGAAAGCTGAGAATGCTAATCAGAAGACTTAAAACTCTTTTTCGCTTGCAAAATAAAAAAAAATTTTGCAAAATTGGTATGGGAGCAGAACGACAAAAAAGGCAAGGACCAAATAAGCATAGTCAAAACAATAATTTAAGTAATACCACAGCAGCAAGCTCACACCTAAAATGCAAGCTCTTTGCGACGCCTATCAGTGATTTACACCAGGAGGCGCAGATTGTACGAACCTTTGTGACTGTCAAAGAGTGGACGACAAAGCTCACCTACCCCCCTCAAGTCCAAATAATCGGACGACCTGTTTGAAATAGCACGGGATACATGTCGCTCTATACATAGTCTTGAAAAAACTAGTTTTGCTTCAATTTTAATGTGTAACATTCTAAATCGTTCAAGAGACTTTAAGTATTTATGCTAAATAAGAATGTTTTATAATAAAAAGAAATAAACAAGGAGATAAGATGGGAATCAGCAATTGTGCCTCAATAATCCGGTTTGTCCAAATGCCCCACTGGTGCAGCTTAAACCCATCTCAGACTCCTCCTCCCAGTACTCTACAAGTGAGAAATTCCCGACTCCGCCCGCCTCACCTCGGCACAACGCTGCCCAAACCACCACTTCCCAACCCGCACACCTCTCCCATCCCAAATATGCTTTTACTAACTTGAAATTCCATGGACAAGCGATAAAAAATACACACAAGAACCAATTACCAGTCAAATTAGTTAGAATAGAACTATTGATCACAGCCTTGACCTCCTTTCGATTGAGGTAGACTTGAGAGATAGGCTTTGACACGCTCCAAATGAGGATTAGCTTCTAAGTAGCCAACAACTTCGCCACCCCCAACGGCAGTCATTGTATTCTTGGTAGGTCGAAGCACTCGCATTAAGACGGCCATTTCTCCGGCCGAGAGCTGGCACCTATCAACCAGAACATCTTCGCTTGTATCAACAAAATCCACCGCTAGGACACCTGCTCGTATAGTCTGCGCGGGCGCCTTGAATTCGACAGTAAATAATGACCCGTGGTAAGGAAGACAGAGCCAGGTGAGAACTGTTCCAGTCGCATCCATACCAACACCTGTCCAGAGATATTTGTGAGGATGCGGGATATTTAGACGTCGCATGAGGGCGCAGGACCACTTATGCAGGAGAGCTCCATCAACAAGATGCGGAACCCCAGGCAATATTGTTAAGCTACGCAAAATAAAACACAACTGGTAAGCCATTGACCGTTGACAATCAAACTACTAATTGTGCGTGTAGTTAAGTCGGAGTTGTCAGTGAGATGGAAAAGGTAGAAGGACCTACCAGTACATATGATTGGGTGATGGGGTGACGCCCCATCCAGCGCCCATTCCGTGCATGAATCCGGCACCGGTGAAGGCGACGAAGTCGGCAACTCCAGCGAGAGGTTTGGCCAAAAGACCGACAAGGCCTCGTCCCACTCCGCCAGCGAACCCCTTGGCCATTTGAGCCAGGCTGTGCGGCGATGAAGCCGATAGCGGTGGTGGAGAGGGCGGCTGGGACTGAAGGAGGGCAAAGAGAGGATGGTGCGCAACGCCTGCTAGGCCACCCAGCAGACTGATACCCAACTCGCTGATACCCAGCACTAGGCCTTCGCCCAGCCCCGCAGGTTGGTGGCGCTGGCGAATCTCCGTAGTACGCTGGATATGCTCTGTGTCCAGTGAGAGTTCGTGCAGATTCCGCGCGACACTGGATGCCAGGCCGGTCAGTGAACTGCACACCCCGCTGTGTGGGATGGAAAGGAAGCTGAACTGCAAAACCCATCTTATCCGGTCTCCTCAGAGTGCTCGTTTACTAAGGGACTGAACTATCAAATGGGAAAATTTGGCTTAAGCAAAATTCTATTGATGGATACACTAACTCTATTAAGTGCATGAAGTGGATATAAAATGAAGCCATGATATACATAGCAAATGGGAAGTGTTAGTAGCGAGGATGCTTCGTGTTTGCATGAGAATGGTGAAAATTGTATGACCACGGTATGAGCGAACAGCGTCAAAGATTGCACAAAACGCCACGGAATTTGACTAATTAAATTTAGAAACTTAAATAATGCTCTATTTTAAATGGATTACAACATTCATCTTCTAAAATACTGTTGAACTCCACGCAGGAGAATCTTGCTAGCTTTAGTCTGCGCATCATGTCATGGGGATGATGAAAGCCAAAACGACGAAGCACTACAATTCAAGAAGGTCGCAAGTAAATCTAACAATCAGTGGGTATAGCAGCTGAACTTCTTTTTCAATATTCTAACCACTTTACTGCCCTATGTAAAAGCCCCAGAATGTTCAGCTTGTCCTTACTTAGTTTAAACAACTTACAAAGAGGTCAGTTGAAATTTAAAAGGTATTAAGGAGGATAGGCCAACAAATTGATACTAAATATTTAAGGACGATAATAGTAAAGGTTAGTTTTAGTTAAGATCAATTGAAACGCATCGTACCCGGCAGTGTGCTTCACTAGAGACAAAAGACCACGAGCAAGACCCCTCAGCAGACTCAGTTGTTCCCGAGTGGCCATCTTTTCACTGTCGGCGAAGTGAACCAGATGCCAGACGCCCTCAGCGAAGGAAGCCACCAGACGGGCGGGATTGCCGATGAGCTCTATACTGCCCAAGACCAGACCTGCCCGAATCAACAACTGCGAGATGTAGTGTGTACTCAGCTGTGAGACCAATGTCTTCACATCCAACGCCACCTCCGAACACTCAAAGCTGTTCAGTCGGAACTGTGTGGTCTTGCACGAAATGTGCATCCCAACCTTGGCCTTCAGCGCAAGTTGCAGCGCAACAGAGTGGATTTCGAACTCGCGAAGACAGAGTATGGTGGGAGTCGGCGATTTCACTGCATTTTCGACATCTCCAATCAAAGCAGGTCGGGCACGTCGCAGATCCTGAACCCATGAGACGAGAGCGTAGAGCACACTATCTTCGAGATAAGCCTCCATTGACGGCAAACGCAAATTGAATCTGTCCAGAAAGAAGTCTGTGGAAGAGAGGTAACGGATTTGGCAGGTGCACGAGAAAACACCGGTGCTATTTTCCTCCATGGCATGAGGAAGTACAGATCGCATGAGAACAGGGAAATCGAAGGTAGATAGAGAAGTTTGAGCGAGATTATCGATTTGGATCAAAGAGGAAGTGATCCTGAACTCAAATAGGGATGCATTCTCCTTTGAATACGTGGCTTCGATGCGTCGAATGCAAATACGAAGGAAATCCTTCAAACCTGAATCGCCCGGTGTTAGTAGTAAGCCGCGCACCGGTGCAGAAATCAATGTTGTATCAATGTAGACAGATAGAGATAAGGGTTGATCAACATGTGACCAATGAGAAAACACTGGTTTTTGATCGGAAAAAATTGCCAAGTCAGTGCAAAACGGAAAGGCCTCATTAGTGACCTGTTGAATCGAGATTGTTTTTTCTCTAAATCGTAACAGAACGGGATTATCTCTACAATCAGTCAATTTGATGACCTCAACGTCTGAATGCAGGCGCAAAAAGAGACGCGCGTCCTCATGACAAAGAAATGTTGACGTAACTGATGATTTCGAAGTTTCACCAGAGATCCACACTTCGGCCAGTTGATCGAGAAATACCTGAGGAATGAGCACCAACTTTCCCCCGCTTGGATGAACACAGGGCAGGGCATTGGAAAGCGGAAGCTGGTGGAAGTTGGAAAGACCTTGGAATGATACTTCAAATGGAAAATCAGTCGCATTGGTCAAACTGCAGCCCAGTGAGCAGGAGAGAGAGGGAGCTAAGTTAGCCAAGCAAAGAGTCCATAGTCCTGTCTGCGGGTCATTAGAAAGGCTCAGAAGAAGTGAGCACTCGTCCGGGTCCCCATCTATTGGAAAAAAGTGCGAGGACTAAGTAGAATCCCGCATTGATGAGAAGCTTTAAAAGTTCGACTTGCGAACCCGAGTGGAAAAATTTATTAGATTAGTATATGCAACAATCAGGAAGAATGAAGCTTATCAATTCAAGTTTTATTTACTAGTAGTAGAAAAAGGCATACAATGCATAAAGATTAGTGCAATTGCTTAGCTTTCAGAAAAAAAGCCGTTTGTAATTCTTGGTGAAGATGAAATAGTTTTGCACAATCTAGAGGAGAATATTTAAGCAAAGCAAACATAATCACCTCATCATTAGTCGAAAATAATTCCTGTGGATAGTATACAATTAGAATCAAGGGAACGAACTTACTTTCATTGAAACTGGGTAGCGAAATGTGGTAATATCGATGATACGATCCGGTGACTGGACAGGAGCGAACGCCATCGAATGAATGGACTCCAGCTAACTGAAGAGAACGACTCCAAAATATACCCAAATGACTCCGAAGAACAAGGAGGTGTGCGAGAGACACACCGTGTGAATCGACGTCCCCGAACACAATCTCGGGGTGGGAGTGGTTCCAAAAAAGAACCGGAGTCAAAGTGCCGCCAGACTTTGGTAGAGTTAAAACTTCGGCTCCAAGCTCATCTAAGGAAGCCTAAAACATAAAAGCATGTAATAAAGTGTTACACAACTATTTTAACTGCTGCAAAAATAGGTGCATGTTTTTTCTGAAATCAAAAATTGAATGGGGTCGATATTTATTAGAAGATTCTTAAATGATAAAAAACAAATCAAAATTACTTAAGTGATGCAAAATAACCATCGCAGCCTGCGTTAAGAAGTTGTCGGGAGGAAATCGCCCACTGCTACTACTGTTGACGATGAGAGGAGATCCAGATGGCAGGGAAAAAGGTAAGAGAGGTATGTGAGGACTCACCATAGGAAGAGGTAGATGGACGCCAAGGGTAGGTACGACAATGGGTTTGCAGAGAAGGGACTGCCCCGTGCGATTATCGATGTGCAGAAGCGGTTCAATGCTCAGGGTGACGACGCCTCGAGGGGGCGCAAAGTGGAGGCGCGCAGCAAGGCAGCACACCACGCAGCCGAGGCGCAGAGCGAGCGGTGCCAGCGTGCGGGAGCGCGTGAGGTTCACCACTGCTGTCGCCGCCGCCGCCCTGCCACCGCTGTCCTGCTGATGCACCCGTGACATGCCACTCACCGTCAGTATGACTATCTCACTCGAGGTGATAGAATTAGGATCCACGGTGGCGGTGGTGGATGATGAAAACACTGAGCTGTGAACTAGGAGTGCAGGTGACCACACCGTACTTCCTTTGAAGTTGATTCCAAGCCGCAATAAGCGCTGAAAGTGGGCATTATGATACACTTCGGACGAAAATTTCTGCTGGATCCAATATCTATGAGCAAGATTTACTTGGAGCGGACATTATAGTGTCACAACTTCATGATTGAGTACACATGATACGCATGAAGTATGATGCATCGAATGCTATTAAATTGACCTCATCCGTAAAAATACGGCGAAACTAAAAAAAGCCAACACATTCTCAGTAGCCATCCTTATGAATTACAAAAGTTAATTAGAAATATAAGAAACAAACAGAATGTGTTCTAACGTCAGTGTTTGGTGGTGCTTTACTTTCCAAGTTGGAAACACTATGTTTCCAAATAAACAAAAAGCAGGAGAATAAGATTACCTCGCCAGCAGCGGGTATATGGCAGGAATCGGTATCAAACTTGATGGCAGACTCGTCTGGAAGGTTAATATCCTTCAAACTGCTTGCGGTACAGAGCTGTAAGCTGATGCCACTGCAATTGCTTAGGAGAAGCCAGGGCTGCACGACAACGTCAAGGCGGCCAGAGAGCGTCTTCCAGGGTAGCAAAAGCGACGACTCAAAAACTGGGGCCTTGTCACTAAGCCAATTCAACGAAGAAAACTAACAAGTTAATGACATTTTTAAGAAATTTTCAAACTGAAATAAAGTTTTAGCAAGATGAACTCACGGATAGTGAAAATTGAATGAAGGCGTACTGCCCGGCTGAAAAGTTACTGCAATAGAAGTTGTGGATGCCTTAGGAATATAGAAGTGTCTAGAGAACCCTCGGCCAGAAGAATTGAGAAAAGAGGCAGGCGATTTACAGGAGTCCTCCAAAACCAGAGTCAGCGGCATTGGCAATGCACTCGTGATGTTGAGCACTGGTGATATTGTGATCTTCCCAAGTGTGAAAATACATCCAAGTTAAAGAAGTAGATCGAGGTAATTGATGCGAGGCGATTTTTGTACTGTCCACTTACCAATCTTGCTGGATCCGACAGCATATTGTAATGCAAGTGATTCACTTTGAGTAGCACCGGACAAACAGTCTCTGCGACAGGAAGCTAAGCATTAGGAAAACAAATTTTATAACTTCACATATTTTTAATGTCGATAAAAGGAACACAAATGCTAAAACTCTGCGAACCTATTTGCTTAACCAAGGAAATCTAGAGACAGATTAAAGATGAATTTGAAATAAAGCTGTACACAATTAGGAAATAATAGAACGAAATGATGGCCTAAGTTCTAAAACATTTGAAAATATGTGCTTTGGTGATAGAAGATGACACCTAAAAATAGGAATGGTCACCTGCATTTACCCATAAAATCCTCTCGCCCTGAGCGGTCAAATCTTCACCCGTTAACTTTACGAACGCGTCAGTATCCGAAGCGGATAAGGCGAGGTCAGACGTTGGCCCTGCTGGTGAAACACAAAGGCCATAAGAAGAAGATGACGCAATGCACCTGGTGAATCCATTGGAAAGGCGGAGAGAAAGGTCAAAAGGAAATTTGTTTTCCACAGTGAGAGCCGGCTGAATGATTATCTAGACAAAAATACAATGAACAATATGATATGATTGAACATTTGGATGTAATCCGGTGAAAAAGGCTCGAAAAATGAACGATTTATTGCATTAAGGCATAATAATCTCAAGTGAGTTCAGATGTGTCCAAAAAGGAGAGTTAGAGCTTAATTAGAGTAACTAGACACAATCATCCAAACAAGGAAACTATTGAGCACAGCGATACTTACCTCACCAGGGAGTCCGGATGAGGGCCGGGGAGGAATAAGAAGAATCGCAACAGGGAAGGAATCATCCTGAGGCTCAAGGTCATCCCACTGGATCGGCTGTGCGAAAGTGCTGTTGGTGTGCTCAGGAGGCCAGGTGATAGACAATGGAGCACTCCGGACCATTGACTTCTTAAAACAATTAAAAACATTTTTGTCTGTCTGTATGAAACAGCGCAGGGGGAGTAGTGCACACCCAATCAATGCATGAACATTTACGTTTTTTCGAGCATTAAACCTATGAACTGTATTCGTGTTAGAAATAGCACATTGATAACCAATCGAAAGATATGGGTGCTTTTTTTCATTTCAATTAAAAAAATCCGAACTCTGTCTTTTTTGGCCCATATTCTTAACGTTTAATCCAACCTATGACCTTACAGGGTCCGTGGATAAAGCAATCCTGAGTGTGATTGTCCGGGTCTTGGCCAATACGATCGGCCGCCATGATGCAAAACACCCTCCGGCCTCCACAATGACATTAGTGATATCGGACAGTGCGCTTTCCGCCGGTTCGTCGGTGGGAGAAGCACTGGTGAAGCATTGCTCCACAAGAAGTCGCCTGTCCGTCCGATTGCCAATCTCCCAGCCCGTTTTGCCCTCGCCTGTTGTGATTTGGCTCAGGGCATGCACGAGGTCACTGTTGCAACACAGGTGACATGTCCCGACGGAGATGCACGTTCCACTCACACCGAGAATGTGCTCCGCCTCGCCCAGGAGCTGCATATGCGCTCCGTGCGGACTGAAGACGTGGGCGGCCACGGATCTCACTGAAAAACTTGCCAGTAGTGTGGAGTCGGCGTATGTAACTGGTTGATCAACAGTGGAGGTAATTGCTGGGGCCTGGTTGTGCGGATTTGTAAAGGAGGTTGCTAGCATACCATGCAGTTTAAAGACCGTCAACCTCCCTGTTTCGAGGCTGGGTTCCTGCATCTACAATTGTTAAGTTGACAAATTCAACCACAAAAATGATATCCACAACGCAAGGTGCCGATTTTATAGTTTTTTAAGAATACTTAGGAAGCACATAGTCGACTAGCTAGGAAATGTAGATATCCGAGATAAACTAAAAAAACATCCTCGAGAGTGTCTTGATAAACGAAAAGAACGCTAAATGGATAACATGCCTGCCATGTGGAGAGACAGAATTCGTCAAGTCCAAAATGAAGTGACACTGGCATGGTGAGTTCAGGAATGTAGGCGGAATCGAGATGTGTACAGGCGCCCAGAGCATACGGAGGGAGGCAAACAGGAATAGCAACAGATTCACATCCAGCAGATGAAGAATTCCCCCTAGATTATACACGCATACATTCGATCATATTTAAAAAACCCACCCTTGGTATGAAAACAGGTAAGAAAGCCCATTATGGCAACCAGTTACTTCTAAAATTTATAATTAAACAGATACAATATTTTATGAGGCATTCAAATTTGCTGTAGTTGCTTGGTAGAACGGTACATACATGGATATGATTCTACCAACACAACTGACGATAATCCTCCAAGAGGCTGCCGCAACCGGTAAGGGTGCTGTGGGATTAAGGGCAACCTTGGGACCCCAGAAAACGTTCTCTTCACCTAAAGAGGATCTGAGAATCAACCGTTGCCTCTGAGATTGCTCCAGAGTCTCCAAGCAAAGTGGAAATTCAGCCAAAAGGGGTGGGAGAAGGACGTCGACAGAGGCGTCTTCAAGAAGGTTGAAAGTGGCGTAGGTCACAAAACTACCATATTCACCTACACGATCGCTCCAGTATTGTAGGCGAGCTGGCAACTTGGGAAGGGCAGAGAGGATTAAAAGTGAAAAACCCATTAACGGTTGAAAGAAATATACCCATCTGATCGCAATAGTCTTAATTCTCGAAAAAAATAATGATCTTATCTTAATGAGTAAAATATAAGGCGAAAAAACAAAAGTCGACGTGTGTGTAATTTGTGAGAGAGAAAACGAACCATAATGTTGCCGAGATCGATGCTATCATTATCATAAACGAGGGGCACGGGATTCACAGTAAGCCGGATGGGTTGGCGCAACTCAGGGAAGGTCCACGTCATCGTCACACATCTAGATTCTGTCCCAACCTCCGGAGCGAATTGATCACAATCGGCAAAGACGATCTCGTAGGGAAGAGGGAGCCATCGGGAGATATTGCCAAGACCTACGGGTTCCGTGGGAATGAAAATCGAAAAATCGTAGGCCGACTTTCTCCGGATGTCGTCTTTAAAGACGCATCGACTTGGCAGATGTTGTGCAACAGGCTTCTTCGCGTTCAAAATACCGTTATTTTCTTGATGCGTTGCTACAATAAAGGCTTGGGCAAGTCTTCTGAACTCATTTCCAGAAGGAATTACTATTTTCGTACCCTTAGAGATCTCTATATGTGCAACGGTTGTAGGAATGCTCACTAGAGAGACCTCTGTGCACATCCTGAGGGAAATTTCCGTGGCAGTGGGGATAAGTTGAAATTCATTCAAGTGAGTTTCGATACACATCGCCTTTAGATCGGTATAAAAACTCCTCCAGTCCTTTCTCCGATTAGCGACACCATCAATATGAATCCCCTCTGTAGCGAATCGAATTTTATCTTCTGCAGCAATTAAATGAATCTGTAAGGAAAGAATTGCGAACACAGACACGAGGCTAGTCATTTGTGGTCCAAAAAAATAAAACGGAAAGAATGCTCACAGATATTGAGCGAGTATCAAAATGTAGCTGATCAAAGATTGTGATAAAAGTTGCAATGGGCGCCTTGAGATCACCCGCATGTTTGACACGCTTGGTTGGGGAATTAGGAGAATAGAAAGATTTTGTTAGGTTTGAAAGGCACATAAGCATATTTGGCGTGAGAACAAGAGTCGTTTCTCGTTGAATACGAACGGTGGCATGAAAACGTTTTTCCTGCAATGAAGAGAGAGGTTAGTTTTTCACGTAGCTGATAGTATCTAAATGCAAAACAAGCTCCACTTGCCCTTGAATTTCGACGAGAAAAGTTAATCAGAAGCAGTTCGTCATTACCGGAAGTAGAGAGGCAAGCCCTATTAATCGATGACATTGGGTTGAATATGTGATATTGGCCGACGTCTGCGACTTGTGGAAGGGGGAGGCGAGTTGGGAGATATGTTTGGCGCTCTACCGGCGGTGTAGTGGGGGTCCAAAACACGTTGCCGTGCCAATCTGACTCAGAGCCTTCGGAAAATGATCTCAAATGGACCTGTAAGTCATTGAGTCCCGCGTTCAATGACTCGGGTGACCACCGGAGGTGTGGCTGAATCAATTCTATCACGGAGAAGTCCCAGTGACGCTCGATAGGTTTTCTTCTCTCCCACAGAACAAAACGCATTAATCCGCAGGTGAGTAGAAATCGAGAGGGCTGAGACGGCCAGGCCAGTTGACTCACCTCCGCCGTCTCGTCCATCTGCCCTCTTGGTCGCTCAATTACACCCATTAAATTCGATAAGTATGTCAATAAAAAGGATCCACTGAGGGTCACAATGATATCATTGCTTATATTTGCTTCCAAAATTGATCCATAGAGCATTCTTGCCTATGAAACACAGAATCAAGCATCAGAAATGGGGAAACCCGAGCAGTAACAATGAATGATACAAATGACCAAAAATGCCAATAATAATAGCAATCAAAGTTACTGATAAACTATTCACTCTGGACTAAAATATGTGGCAGCCGAATAGTGTCCCGCTTCACCAACTGCTCCTAATGCATCCTGTACATACATGAACTAAAACAGGGTTGACCTTTAGTAAAATGGTACACGGAGAATGAAATTAGTCAGTAGAGCAATGAAGTGAATAAAACAAATGAATTCTAAAATTGGTGATAGTGAGTTGGTAAATAAGGCCAAATTCAAAAAAGTGTTTAGACATTTACCTGACCACAAACGAGATTGGTTTCACAAATAGGAGCGGCAAAAACAGCCATTATGTCGAGAGGACGTAAAACAGGCAGCACCCAGACAGCGTCTTTGCTGAAACAAGTCAAAAAAGATCGTGAATAAACAAGTCTGAGATACTCGGGCGAGTAATTTTGATAATACGAAGCTCACATGCCACTGAGGCGAGTTGCGGCCTGATTCCACTCAAAGGCGGGATACTGGCCAGCCAAGGTGGGTTGGCAGTCGAACCTACGAGCACTTTTTGAGAAATTTATGGCTTCCAAAAGATTGACTGCCCAACAAGCTAGTCCTTCAAGACGCAAAGCAGATTGCCTATCCTCGTAAGAAGAACCGATTTTGCGCGTCAGGGTAATGACTCTTGCATGGGCTGACGCGGCTTCCGGTCTGGAGGTGATGCAGTTTTTCGGAAAAGGATGAATTCGCATAGCACGCAGAGTAATAGCCAAGGCATCACAAGGACCAATTACTCCATACGACGGGGCAAGGAGCTGAAGATAAAGCAAGTGATAGAAAAAATTCATAAAAGTAGAAGGGTGAGCGAACAACATCGAAAACCCACTCACCCCTGGGGAGGGAATGAAGAGACGCAACTCGTCAAGTGCCACAAATAGCAATGGCATACAATGCCCTGGAAGCGGTGCCCCGACACCAAATGATCTACCACTCGTTGGAACGATTTCCTCAGAGTTCTGGAATTCCCTCAGAGCACCTTTTAGGTACGACGCAAGCTGTGGACAGAGGACCACATCCAAGGGTTTCAATCTGATATAGACGCAATTGACGAAGGGAGGACCAGCATCGTCAACCTCCATCCGATTTTCGCCTAGGAGAAAAAGTTCGCTCTGCCTGTCCAGCCAATAGGAGAAGCGCTTGCCAGCGAAGACATGACGAACGAGGACAGCAAAGGATCGAGTGAGAGAGATGGTGAGCATAGCCGTGGGTCGGAAGTGACGAGAGAGTGTCACGTCGACTTCGCTATCACTATCGACACCTTGGGGTTCCTGGGGTTTGGGAAGCCTTTGGCCAGCCTTCGATTCTTCATAATACGCCGTTCCTGGGCAAAGAGCAACATTCTGAAAGGGCCTAAGATGCCAGTGCTTCGGAGAAATTAAAGGAAAGCACCTAAAGTGAAGAAATCGACGTTAACAGTGTATCAACACACAACATATTAGTTTATGAGATTAAACACCTTTCTGAAGTGCGCAAAAAAAGGCAAACGCGTTCAAGTTGCAATCGAAAATTGATGTAGAATGGCGAATCAGAAATGGAGACTGTTGTGCAGAAGCCATCTGCTTCCCACCGGATCTTCGACTGCTTATCACTTAAGCACAACTCCCCAGTGGTGAAGGGAAATATCACTTGAATAACACCCTTAATGGGAATTCGTGGGGTTGTGATAGATGGTGCGTTGGGAGGGGTAAAATGCACAAGGACTTTTCGCGATTCAGCTAGAGAGTGTGAGGAGGAGTAAGTCAGACGAGAGATTATTGACGAGGACTTCTTCGTAGAGCCAAAGAGTTCCATACCGCACGGTGATATCTCAACCGGTGTTGAAGGATTTGATAGACCATCGATTTCCTTTGATTTGCGGATGCAAGACGCCATGAGGTCTTTTGTAGTAAAAATCTAAAAATGTGAGTTTTGTCTGAAATATTACGCAGGAATGTGCTGCAATGAGCGCAGTCAACCATGAAAAGGTAGGAATTAAAATGCATGCTATGCACTCTCGACTGACTGGACAAATAACGTATCAACGCGATGTTTTACTGATTTGCATGAAATGACAATGATAAAGTCTGATTATCTGCATCGTTAAATCGAGGTTCTGTTAAGGTAGCATAATCGTACATCGTTTTTGATGAGTCTTGAAAAATCAAAATCATGTCAACTATGAGTGTCTTAAAGACAAACAGATCGCAATGTAACTCTGGTAGGTTTATAGGTAGCAAGGAAAATGTCGATGCAGCTAAGATTAACATAAAATTTGGCATTACCTCACTTATAAGATTCGATATCTGCATTTGAATGCCAGAAATGGTTGCCATAAGATGAGAGACATCCCTTAAACTGGGCGAGTTACCAGAAGTATCTTCTGTGTTGTGAGCTAAGTTGAAGAGCAAATTCCAAGAGATTCTGGAGAGTGCATTGTCCAGTGGAGATGTTGCGATTGTGAACGAAAGACTGCAGGCCAAGTCATCCAGTTGGAGGAGGCGCGTTGCCTCTCCAACCGAAATTATTAGCCCGGTGGCGGTGCACTCCCACATGGGACGGTTCGAATCCCGATCGATTGCCATCATTTCAGGAACACTTTGGAGACGGCGGAGTCGACGCTGAGTTCCTAATGCCTGTTTCTCCTCTAACTCAAAACTATATAATCGAATACCATCTGTCCCTTCTGTCGCAGTAATAGGTGCCGAGGGAGGCACATTTTGGGATTGAGGGAGTGGGGAGGAGTGGGAACGTGGTCCTCTAATCTCGATTCGGGGGAACGTCAACTGAACGACTTTACCACGGCTCGTTGCGTTGAGTGACGCAAGCCATGCATCAAAGTCACAGGTAGAAAAGCGATCCGTTGTTGGAACAATATAGAGAGTTGAAGTCAAGATTGACACCTGAAATATTATGTTTGCAACTTTGACTACGGCAAATTGCACGAAATGGCAAGTTAATTTTAAAACTACGTATCCAAACAACCCTACCTGACAAATCTAATAGGATAGTAATTTGTTCTTTTAATTCTTCTCCAAAGCTCTAAAAAGGTTAGTCACTAACATCAGACATTTCTTCGCTCTAGATAAGAATAAAATGCTCATTTTAGACTGCAACTGGACGTCAGTGAGTTACTTTAAATAAATGGTAGATGAACTGCATACATCTAACTTGCAAGTGGTGAACCACTTGTAGTTTGCAATGATCCATTCAGAAAAAGGCGCGGACAGCAAATCGCTGCAGTTCTGAACCCTTGTAATGTTGGAAACCAAGACAAAGGTGGACCCGCCTGACGTATGAGGTCTGCTGCGAGTTGAAACGGTTTCGAGATGAGATTTGATTTCACTAGGACTGTGTGTATGGAGATCCATTTGGTGAAATGCGATAGAACCTATAACAGTTGAAAATTTAATAATGAACGGCCGAAAGACAAATTGCTATGAGAATACAGTACGAGGTCGTACTTTGTGATTTCGAACAGAATTGAGCATCCAAAGGGAATTCTCCAGTTTGATCGATTTCAAATGCTTCCCAAGACTTCTTTAACACGCCGATGACACCAGAGAACCACTCAATAAGAGAAGGGGTAATGAGAATTTTCATCGGTGCCACTTTCAAAGTTACCGACGCAGGGTCTACAGAAGATTATCAACAAATACGTTACTTTTTTTTACGAAACTGGAGGATAACGGTCAAAAATCAACTTACGCAGACTGTCTAAACCAGGGACAATTTTTCTCCTCAACTGATATGAAAATACAGCCAACGGTCCAGTTGATAAACATTGAAGAATAGGAATGACTTTATCCTTTCCCTCATCCATTAAACTTCCTGTTAATTGAGACGTCTCAAATGATGAATTGACAAGTTTCTGGATTTTACTCGACTGAGCATGTAGGCACATGAAACCTTTCGCATTAAAGGTGAGACAATAGGACATTTCACCTAAGGTAAGGAAGAGATGAAACTGAAATGATGCGCCACTGCCTAAATATCGTGAAGCTAATGGTAAGACCACTAACCTTCAATTGTCCGTTTGAAAAATTTACCAAGTCCAGCTTCGCTTATTTGGCCACTGTATTCATTTAGCTCTGGCCATGCCTGACTATGGAGATAATGCGAAAGAGCTGTGGCAAGTGCGCATCCATGAGAGACTATATAGAACCCGTGGATGAAGAGACTTCTTACAGCAAAGGAACTCAAGTTTAGCTGAATTTGTGAATGGGATTTTAGATAACTCTCCGTAGTCACGAGATCATTTGATAGATGTTGAGGCCAAGATTCCGAAAAGAGCAGGTTTCGTTGGGCTAATGTGACTGATATAGGTGAAAGTAGTACCCCTTGACCCAAAGAAATGCACACTTTGGATATTTTAACCAGTTGATGGGCATAACAGCTATTGAGAAGGTCAATCTGAAGCAGTTTTGTAATTGGATTTTCATCATCGAAACCAAAGAGAACGCCACCTCTCTTCACATCACCTTCTTGTTGGCCACCAGTCGGTTGATAAATGCCATAGCAGTCCGAAATTTGGTCTTTTCTGCCCCACTGCTTGCATTCGAGAATATTATTGCGCAAAAGGCCTCGATGGAAGGAAGAATTCACGTCCACTAGCACGCCAGATGAAGGATAGAGGTGAGTCATTGTGAAGACCAGTTGCACTGGGTTGAGGGGAGCAGAGACAAACACGTCTATGCCACCCGTCTCGAGGTGCAGAGAAGCAAACCGATTAGCCACCTAGAATTAATATG